CACCATAGTAATCCTTATTTATAGTACAACTACATTAATTCACCACTTCTATTGGATCAAATTATCGTTGTTGAATTTTTAAAATGATCTTTTCAATATGCGTCGGTAATGTTAAATAATTTAGTCAGTTTCTCGTTGCAGCATTTTTTATTATGACGTGTTCACCGTTAAATTGAGTCTGAACTTTCATTCACAAACGCGATGTCTTATCCCCTACACACACATACCCCATACTGTCAATGACACCATTAGAAAAATTAAAGACTCGGTGCTTCGTAAATCCAGCCCAGTCATATTGTTTTACAGGATTTGCGTAGTCCGCTGATTATATGTTCATGGACGCATGCAAAGAGTGGAATTTCTGATCAGTTGCAAGCTCTGCTTGTTTGATTGACGAAGCACAACAGAATTTATTACCATTAACTCCAGTCTGTATTTTTTGTTCGCGTATCACTAGCTCATTGGTCCTGACTTTTATCTTAATGCATTTGCTATATTATTACTCGACCATGAAAGAAAATGAGGCTACAAAGCAGAATTAAAGCCTTAATGTTGTGAGGCAAAAACGTTTTGTTTTCAATCAAACGTGAGGCAAGACAATTTTTGTTTGATTAATTTCTTGAAACTCTCAAAATCGTTTGAGTTCTTACCAGATTTTTGAGATTTTCACTAAGGCGCCTTAGCGCACGAACTTTGCTTCAACATCAGCTAAAAAATACTTCCGAAGTCTAAATATTAATCCTAATTCATCGTGCAGCAGGAAAAATATCTGTCACAATTCCTGTTCATTGGAATTTCTAAATATTTGTTATATATTGGAAACAAGTAATAGTGAAGTATACGAGGAAACGTAATAGACTTACGACGGCAATGTTTTAGACTTACGATAGGAAAAACAAAAATACTTTCTGAAAACTGTTAAATGCTCTGTATATGCAACAAACTGATCGTACAAAATTTGCAAGGACTGTACGAACGCTGTTGATAGCACTGTTAAATAAATCCAAAATGTGAATGCATATCCAATGATAAACTAAAGGTGGGATTTTCAAGAATTGCTGTGTCTAAAGGTTCCGGTTTTACCTTTGCGAATTTTATGACAAAACCAATCAAGATGGAAGTTTCAGGCAAATGTTATGCAAGCAGCGAGCATTTCGCAGCTCCGACATGCGAGCAATGTTCGTCATGTGATCAATGTTACTCGCCGATGCCGAGTTTAGGATCAGTCATTCTCTTCCTCATGGCTCATGCAACGTAAAAGGTAGTCGAGTGGTCCACAGTTACAGTAGATTGGATGGCATTTGTTCTCGGTGAAATCCCGTACTCAGTCACCATCCGATATTCAAGGACAAATTCGATGCAGGAAAAGTAGTGCTCACGATTGACTATCGTCAGCCACGCTACAAGTCAGATTTTGCTTCATCTTTGGTCCAAGCATGCCATTTGTATTCATGATTTCGTCTGGGAGCTTGATAAAGGGTCGCCGACCCGCTCCATGTTTACAGCGCCAGGCAATGTTAAGAATAAGGAAACATCACAGCAGCCCTCACCGCTCCTCAGAGCCTGCAGTATTGGCATGCAGTCTCAACTAGTGTACAAACTTCGGTCTTTTATACCCATTTGCAATTACATTAAATGCCGCCCCGAGGTTTGAAAAGGCAAAGCAGAAGTTTTTAAGTGCGCGGGAACTTTACACGCTCTGCATGAAAATCGTGGAGAATGTGTGGCAGATTTCTCCTAAATGACTAAAATACAATACAAAATTTTATTTGATACGACAATTCATTTATGTAAAATGTTACATTGATGTAATGTTCGCAGATATTACCATCACAGGGCTTAAACGTTCACATGCATAACCACATGTAATTAAAAACATTGAATCTAGATACCACATTTATTACAAGGCAAGAGAAAGATGATTTAAGGCTAAACGACATATTATTTGGAGAAACGTTTATCATAAAGGGCATTTACGTCCCGGATCTAAATTATGAATTATACTGACCATGAATTACAGTGACAATAACTTCGAGTTTATATGAAAGTCAATGATAGAAAACTTGTGTTTTCCCAAAATAATTTTTCGTCTCTACATCTATACTTCAGTCGATCCTGGAAAATGAAAAACTTGAATAAATAACTTCACTAAGGTTACACTATATATGATGATAATACAAACTAACTCAACGCGTTGGTGTTGGTTACTGGGAAAATGCTCAATATATTTATATTATTTAACATATCAGGAAGCCGGATGCTTGGGGTAATTATTATTATGGTAATAGAACGCAAGCCTGATGAATGCAATTATGAACAATCCTAATGATAATTTAGGAGCGAAGGTTGCTTCAAGCACTAAAGCTATCTGTGTAAATAAGTACATGAGTTTTTAGCACATTTTCTCATTTATGGAAAAAGGCGCTATGTTGCTCGTCATGCCCGTCCTTGACGTCCGTCCTTGACTTCACGTCACGGACGAACGAAAATGCGCTCTCTGTCACTCACTGCAGCGAGTACTGAGTTATATTTTTTCATTACCTGCACATTTGGAAAATTACGAAAATTCTACAATGAAACATATCAGATGAGAAAACTTGTAAAGTGAATGGTACATGTTTTGCCATACAGGAATGCGTTGCTACACTGAACTTGGGGCGTCCGTGTGCCAGCGGCTGACAGGTCTTCGAATTTCGATAGGGAAATGCTTGCTTGAATAAATTATTGCTTAAATTAATAAAATGTTAGAAAGTCAGGTTACACATAGCACTTACTGGCATTAAAATCAAAGGCCCAGCCATGCATCCTGTGGAGTTGCACTGCAAAATGGACCATAGACAGACCCCGGTGGAGCCATTCCGTCCCAACCCTGAAGCGCACTTCTAAGTCATGAATCACAAGTAACGTAAGAGACGGAGATCATTTACTGGGAATTTTTGTCCAGAGTGAAGTCATGGAAGAATTCGGATGAGTTATATGCCATGCAGAAACCGGACCCCAGGCCACGATGATGGGTACTCTCAAAATGTCGACGTGACTCACATTTTGACTGGAATCTGCTTTGCTTTTGTTAGTCTTTCAATTCCTTTCAGTTTAGTTATTCATTCATTCAAATAAATTCCCACCACATCAGCAAAATGTTTCCGCAGTATTAAACACCTTTACCCATACCCATGTTCACAAATTACTGTATATACGTATAAGAGACAATTAATCCTTACAATTATGATTCACATGTGTTATACCCCATGAAACCATCTCAACCCTCTACCGCCTGACATGAGTAACCGGAGCAATATTGTCACAAGCCTATTTCCCAAAAATGATCGTTCTAGTGAGCGCAAAATGACTTGCACTGATGGTTGCCGTCACGTACAACTTTAAAATGTTCTTTGTTGCGGACAAACATCTTCAGGTTGCTGCACACAATAGTTTATGTATAATTTAATTTGAAAGTTATGTTCCCGGAGAGTGACATACGGCGGTAAAGGGTTAAGAGTTTTCAGCATATTTCGCCCTTATGAATCATGAGTGACGAAACACTCTAATTGTTGTTAGAAGCCGACAAAATCAGACTCTCATTAATATCATGGATTACTAATTAAAAAAAAACAAACATCTTGTGTTGGTCTGGTTAAAAACGAGGCGCCTCTACTTGTGCCATTGCATTATCGCACGAAATAAAATTTTTCGAGGAACCATAAAAATGTTTTCTATTGAAACACAAAACGCAATTAGCGCTCATTTTAATTAATTGTGCCTTGGTTTCAAATCTGAAAGCCACCATTCCAGAAACATGATTGAATTCATTATTTTCAGCATTAATTACTGAATAACAAACGGATTTCATCCCACGCCTGAAGCTCTCGGTTGGCGCAGGGATTTTTACATCTTTCCAAGATTGATCAGGATATTCATCAGATCTGAGATTGATTTCAGGGATTTGTAAATACGTTCCTAAGTTGATCAAGCCTTAAAATAACAAATACATGTTGTTGCACACGCATGGAGGTGTTTGTATTCAAAGTAAATAACGTTAGTGGAATTTAAGAAACATTAATACACGCAAAAATATTATATGTGATAACGTGCATGAGTTTTAATTGATTGCTGGCACCTTGGTCATTCAAAAATTTAATGACGAGGGTGGAAATACTCGCTTTTTATTTTCATTCATTTTTTACTGGACTCTCAATGCTGGTTATCCATCTTTCCGATAGACTTCTATGACACGTTTTATATAAGTATTGTAGTTGCACTGAAGTGAGCATTTTTCCAAGAAGCTTCATTGATTATGAATTAGATTACCAAATTCAACAATTCTTTCTTATCTTCATTTAGCATAATTTTATTCGATTTATTGATGTAATATTGGAAAACACTATCCCTGGTCCAAGTATCTCATATCTTTTCAGTAACTTTCTTTGAAGAATAATTTCGCCCACTGTAAATCTCTGCACGCCCTATATTGGAGGAAAAAATATTCTATTGCGTGCAGCAATTTTCTTCACTATATTTGGTTGTAATATATCATGACTGTGCTCTTATATAATTATTTCTCTGAATTAAATGAAAGAGGCAAACGAACAGAGCGTCCAACGCAGACCTAGCCACATGGGACGGAATAATTTTCCCCGCATTAGCGGCTTTGGAAGTCTTCTTACTATGAAAAAATTAGCGATAAAATTAGAAATAAAAAATTATTGGAGATGAAATTAGCGCAAACAAATTAACGAGATGCTTATAAAGGATAAAAAATACTCGTTAGATTGGCACGACATGTCGCTGTTTGCATTTTGCATGTCGCTGTCAATATTGTATGTGCAATGATCGAGTGATTCTGAAGCGATTGAATTGCTTGGCATTGGACAGACTTAATCGAATATTGTGCCAATAGAAAAAAAAGATACTGCAAGACGGGTATTTTCCATTAGACGAATTTTGATGAAATTTCAACTGGACACCGTCGCGGCATGACACCTGCACACGCACGTTGTGCCTCAGTCTCCACCGTCGCGGCATGACACCTGCACGCGCACGTTGCCCCTCAGTCTCCACCGTCGCGGCATGACACCTGCACACGCACGTTGCGCCTCAGTCTCCACCGTCGCGGCATGACACCTGCACACGCACGTTGTCACGACATGTCGCTGTTTGCATTTTGCATGTCGCTGTCAATATTTTATGTGCAATGATCGAGTGATTATGAAGGGATTGAATTAATTGGCATTGGACAGAATTAATCGAATATTGTGCCATTAGAAAAAGACACTGCAAGACGGGCATTTTCCATTAGGCGAATTTTTATGAAATTTCAACTGGAAACCGTCGCAGCATATGACACCTGCACACGCACGTTGTGCCTCAGTCTCCACCGTCGCTGCATGACACCTGCACACGCACGTTGCGCCTCAGTCTCCCCGCGACATAAAACAGTCGGCGCTCCGCGACCAACAGAGCTTGTGTGATGGATAGCTGGTGGTATCACCTCCCTAGTGGTAGTATTGCCTCGTCTTGGCTTATTTACGATCAAAGTCTTGCGGCAGGAGTCGAGCCACTCTGAACTGACCGATGTTCAAACTTCCCGACACCATCGGCGTTTGTGCATGTGGGAGATGTTAAGCAGCACTCGTCAAAAACTTACGTCATAAATAGCCATAAATAAAGCTCTATTTAGGTTAGTTTCTTTGTCCTAAGCTAGGCTTCTAGAAGAGACCTGCAATTGAACTCATTATAGTTAACCTATTTTTATATATTTTAGGCGTCAAGTTGTCTTATGTTGTAAAGTATAAAAATTATGTTTAGTTTGTTTGAAATGATTTGAGACGCATCATTTCTTGCAGCCGACATAACAACTTAGACGCATAATTCCTATTCATTTTTGTCTTAGAATAGAATAGAAGTTCAGCGCTGAAGTAATAGGCCCAGGGCCAATTCACATTCTTTAAAAAATATCTGCAATCAAAACCAGTGCTGATATTTATACATGCGCCTTTTGTTGTTTCAACGAAAGGTAAAACGTTGCCCTCATTATGATAAATACCGATGTCGAAAAATTAGGCTGAATCTAATCAAGTATTGAAACATAGCGAAAAAAGAGACGGTTTCCGACGCCTATTTTACTAAGTATATATATGTTAATTTCATAGAGAATGACTATTTGTTTAACAGCTAGAAGTGGGACTTAATTTATGTACTGAAACAGGACAATTGATTTGAATATATGTGACAAGGTTAATTGCAACGATGTAGTATCAATTCAGGTTACTTATCACTAGGACACCGTTACACTAGCAAATGTTTAATGGTGCCCGCAAATGGATAATTTACGATATTATCCTTGGTTTTGGTAAGGTACTTGTATGATTCATTGTTTAATTAGTATTGATCATTTCGCAATTAAGTAGTGATATTTATTTTTTAGTTACGTATTGATCATGAACTAACAGTTCTAAGATTAGGTCACTCAACACTAACCTTATAATGAGACTTTAGTTCGCAATAGTTGGTTAATTCACTAAAGATTCCCGTTTTATCTCGAGGTTATTATAGCAGACGCCACCGCCTCGTTCGTCTTCTAAAGAACAACAGAAGCTAAACGCTAGGCTGGCTGGCTTAAGTTAGTCAACCTCGATCTTGTTTTAATGAGCGGCTAGCCTGTTTGCTCACTAACTTCCGGCTCCGTCACAACCAAACCTAATGTTTGTGTCAACATTATCCAAAATGTTTTTAATTTTACGATCATTATGGAAAAGAAGTACTGTATTTATATTTTCTTACTTCCATAAATCGATATTTTGTGTGCCTCATGTGAATTTTTCGAACCTTAGTTACGTAACCAATTAAAACATTTGAAGCAATCGTGGAAATATTTCAACCAGCGCTACTATTATTTGAATTTGGATTAGTGACCATAGTAATGAACAAATTCAGCTGCTGCAAAACGCTGCATATCACCGTGAACCATACAAGTGATCATTTTCAATGTGTGTTAGTAAAATAGTATTAAACTAATTAAAATTTTAAACTAATTTTTTGTGGGCTTAATTTTTTTAGCTACAAAATTTCTTGATTAAAGATAAGTTCATATACACATAATTCTAGTTTTTTCACGATGTCAATTCAGATTTTGTGTCAAATATTTATCGTCAACAATCATGACTTTTCTACTGAATTTGCAAAGCGTAATTTCAACAAGTAAAGCATATGCATGAAAAAAATGTAACCTGCACTTTCATCAATAATCAAATTCTTGTTCCGTAAAAAAGAATCAGCTGAAGCACCATTTTTTTACTCACGTCTCATAATTCTAACAATAATTTGCAGAAATTTCATTGTTTATCATTTTCATATTTTTTGTGGATGCGAAATACAGAAGTGCTTGTTTTGATTGTTTTATTTAATTAAGCGTCGAGCGTTGCGGCTTCTCACAATTTAGAAGCGAAATTTTGCGAAAAGATTTATTCCAATTTGCTTTTGCAGCTTAACTGACGGAAAAAAAGTATTTCAAACCAAGCAATTTTCCCTCGAGTGACATGCGTACGATCCTCAGCTCATGAGCTCGGCCTTGAGAAGGGAAATGGTAACGGGAAGAAATGTGAAGGTTAATGGCATGTTTTTCAGAATTCTAGTGTTCGCCATGCAAGGATATACTTATTTTAATCTAATTATATTTCTGCTCACTCTCCAGAAACATTTGGAGATCGTTTTCCTGCCACAATAAGACCAGAAAACATCATCACGCACTAAAATAATGAACAAATATTGAATGCTAATAAACGCACCAATTTGCTCATACGTGCAAAAATAGAAAAATTTATTCGCAGCTTCGTGCCCGAGCAAAGATGGTTGTCAAACTTTCATAAATTTTATGGCATGCTGGGGCGAGTCGCTTGATCCCGGACGCCAAAAGATTATGGCTAAGCGCATCCAGCTCGAAGTTTTTGGTGGCTTTGGCGCCTTTGTCATTATTCGTAATGAGGATGTGATGCGGGAAAAATTCCCCATCCATTACACGGCTGGTCCTGCATGCAGAACTCCACTGCAGAATTTGTGACAGACTCGGCGAGGTTAGGAGGAACAAACTCTTTGAAAATGTTCAACATAATGAAGACAGCAATGAAATATTTACCACACTTCAAATTGAGAACAACAGTAGTTTTGAGAAAAAATTGAGAACAACAGTAGTAATTGAGAAAAACAACCTTTCTCATTTGTGTCATATAATTTATTAATTCAACATGATTGCAAAAAAAAAAACTTTGTTGTTTGAAGAAAGTGCTAATAATACATGTGATAATTATCAATAAATATTTTGTTATTTTCATATAGGATATATAATCTACGCTAGTTTCAAGCGTCAAGAGCTGGCTAATTTTATCATAAATCATGCGTGAATGCAATTAATATTTCCTATTTAATTGACTCAAGGATATAGTTTTCCAGTTGAATTTCTTTATTGAGGTAAACCTGCCAAAACGTTATTTGCATCTGCATTTAGGCCATAGGTCACTATTTGAATTTTTGAACAGCTCACTTATGTCAAACTTGATGAATTGGAATTTTTAGTGCACTTTTACCAAAATGTTCGTACACGCTTCATGCTTTTTAACGTTGATGAATAGCGTGAGGGATTAATGAATGAGAAAATTTCAATTATAACCTTTATTTCAACACTTTGGTACTATTACAAATATACAAATACTTACTTCAGAAATGGAAACGAACAAGACTCTTAAAAACTTCATAAAATCCGGAGGACAAACCACTCACAGAATGGACGCACTAATTAAGTCTGGATACCTCGTGGCTCAATTCCATCTTCCCCTCCCGCATCTACATGAAATGAAGCAGGATCTTCTATCCAGCTCGGTCTGGTCATGTGTATGATAAGTCATAAGAATTATTACACAAATAACCGAAACCTATTAAAATAAGTATTGTGAAATATTGAATTATGTTCCAGGAAATGATATATACCGATCTCGGAATTTTATCCATTTTTAGAATTTCGATTTCATCAAGATATTTTGTGTAGGTTGCTCAATTAGACAAAAATACAATTTTATGCCAGTACTTTATTCGTATTTGATGAATTTCTTGAAAGTTAGTGAGGAAATTTCTTCAGATTTGCTTAATAGACGTGAGCTCTAACCTATCAACCAACTTCACGGAGGGATGAAAATCATGCAAGAGGATCAAGGTAACTTGTTTTTCACAATTTCTAATGTTCCTGAAGAGTATGAAGAAGAAACAATTTCAAATTTTTGAGACTGAATGTAGAGAGAAATTAGAGACGAAAAAAAAGCACCGCTCGGGTTTCAAGTAAAAATATAGGGAAAATTAAAGTAATTAAAGCGAAGCCTTATCAGGTTTGTGAATACTCGCGTTTCCTGCTTCTTCGCCGCCAATATTTCCTCAAGGCGACAAAGCATTCATCCAGCTTTACTTTTGCAACTATTATTAGAAAATTGTGTCAATGGGCAGATTCATAATGAATTTTAGAAGGCACCAGAATTTTTCATACTCATATCAAATAGTAATAAGTAAATTATATCTCACATCACAATTTCTTGTGTTTACGGCCGAAAGCCGCACAATTTCCTGAACGTGTAGTACTCACAAATTTATGAGCAACTAAAACTACGCAATATTCAAGAGCATTTAAACCGAATAATGAATATTAAGTGATAAAATACTAGTATTTGTAAACTAACTCATAGGAATTGGAATTTATGAATTTTTTTACATCAAATTTCAATAAAATAAAATCGTAAATTTTCACAGAGGAAATTATTGAGAAGCACTATCACAAAATAGCCTAAAACCGATGCGGAACAAAATATTCAGTGTCTCTGGCTGTAGTCTCGCGGCGAACATCTGATCATGGATAAAAATTACGATTAGTTTTTACGATGGTACGCCACTAATAAACAACAGTACGAATGTTATAATAGCAACGACAAGACTTTGTACACACATAAGTAAGCAAGCGTAGATAAGGTATATTTCACAAGATAACGTGCATAACCTCTATTTAAATATTTCTTATAATGATATTAAATAACATTGAACAAGAGCTGTGAAGTTTATTCCACACACTGATACAAAAATACTTGTAGGTTTTCATGATATCGCTCATCATCTTGAGTGGTCTGTACATATTTACATCCATGGAAGTTTCATGTGATACTAATGAATGGGGAAAATTTAAATAATTTCCAGTTAAAAATTTGAAGATTCTTTGTTTACATGATCACTCTTTGATGATTAAAGCATGAAAGTCTTGCTTTCATGTCTATTGATGAGTTTCATCAATAGACAACATTTACACAAATTAGCTTATAACCTTCTCATGAATATGAATGGCACACACAATACTAGATCATACATAAACAAGGACAATGAAGTGCATTGATACAGAGATGAATCATATCATAGAAAGATAGAATGAACCATTATTTGTTTCGCTTAACACTGCACAAGTTACAAAGCCCAATTGTATGCGTATGTAAAAAGTCAGGAAAAATGATTACTGAATTTTTGTAAAAGCACCTACTATTTACCCTAAAATTCATTGAAAAAAATCAACGTTAACAGATTAGTCCCAAAACCAATATCTGATGACCGAAAAACTATGTAATTCCTATTGAAAAAGTACTTATTTTCCCGGTCATTTGATTAAACATACGTTCCAGCGAACACTCGTAATTTCATAATTTTGTTTCACTCAAAGACTCTTGATAAACATAAGTTGTTTAGAATCGGGAATAGACTGAACCTTATTTCTGGGACTAACAGCAACGGCGCTTGAGAACGCTCAGCAGGAGCGTCGCGACGACGCTGGACCAGCGAGCCAACAGCGCTGAGGAGGCGTTCGTTTGCATGGCGGCGGGACGTTCTCCTGCCGTGAGCAAAACGTATAAATAGATTATGGCGATAAGTTTGTTACTTATACATACTAGAATAGAAGACGACCAATATCGTGCAATCGATACATTGCATGTTATCGTTATCATATGGCGGTTATCGTGCAATCGATACTTCAGATATATCGATACTTCTCGCCATATCATCAGAGTAATGGTAAAACTTGGCTTTATACTCCAGAACTCAAGTCAACTTACTTTAGCGTTAAAGACACATTAGAGATGTCTTTTATTAAAGAAGAATTATTCAAAGGACAATTGAAATTAGAAATTTGCATTCGAAATAATTTAACCAAAAATAATAGGCTCAAATATATAAAACAAAAATAAATTTAAATCTAATTTATTCTCATGTCACACAACTGTCACACATGACACAACTGGACAAACTATTCAACTCACTTCACACAACAGGACAATCTATTCAAGTGCTTCAAACATGCAAGAAATGTATTAATACATCTCAGTCAGAAGCTGACCAATGGCAGCTATTAAAAAACCTTCGATAGCTGGAACCCATTATAAAAACTATAACATTTAGGCAACATTGCTTCTGAGCGCACGATCAGCGTTTTATTGCGTCAATTTCGACCAACAGCACGACACATTTCTTCGAAAAAAAAAGCCTCACAACAATACCGATCTCATGCCATCAGATGCGCACACCAATCCTCTTACGCAATTGCGCTGACAAAATGCCACTCTATGAGCTTTGGCTGATTAAACTCGTCTGAATGTTCCGTAAGTAGGCTAGCTACATGGCGCCCGTCCTGCATATGTGGCCAATTGGACAATAAGAAGATGAAATATTTTTCGAACTTAGGTACACTAGAATTATAGCTTCATTCAAGTTTTAAATTTATTTGAATTTTAATAGCATATTGCGATTGGAACCTAACCAATTGTTCTGCAGGGCATTCGAAGCACCCATTTATCAGTGTATCAGTTTATTTCTTTTCCATGGGTATTACCTATAATTGAAAATTAGACCCAGGAACAGATCTTTGAGTTTAGGGATTGATTTCATTCAATTGGTTAATAGAAAATATGTCTATCAAGGTTTCATGGAGATATGAGAATAAAATTACATCGATATGATAATTATGCAATATGTAGCAATAGTGCGATGGAGGCAGGTTCCATGCCCTCAGGCTTGCACGTGAAGGAGCCAGAGTCGGCAGGCAGGGCGTTCTGCAGGAGCAGAAAGCTGGTGGTGGTCTCGCCGCGCTCCTCCACCACACTCACCCCGCCACGAGCACTGGTGTAGCTGATGGTCTGATGTCAAGGATATGGTAACTACTGTTAATATTGGTAATAGTGCGTGATATAAATCAGTAATAGCACCCCAAGCACTCGTGTAGCTTGTTGTCTGATGTCAGTGGTGTGGTAACTAAGGCCTGTACTAATATTAGAATGCAACGCAATCAAGCTTATTCACAGCACCCAAAGAACTCCAGTATTTTATTGTCTGGTGTCAATGATATGGTACAACTTACTGTACGTAAATATTTGTTGCATTTTAATGGTGCATAATGAGGTCAGCTCCACTAATGAGAGCGAGGTACGCTCCTACGATGTTTGGTGAATAGGCATTCAGGTGGACTTTTCTGTGTCAAGGGCACATGGCTTTCTACTTGTCGTTAATTTGTAAAATACGAGTTCTGCCTTTCCCCTCATGCATATATATAGTTGCCAGTGTAATACACAAGTCCAACGAATAAGGACTACCGAGAACACGCACATTTATTTAAACTAACGCATTTGTTGATACCCACTGACGGTAAATATAATAAAAAAACCGCGAGTCACTTGGTGGTCAGTCATTTCGGTTTGCATCATAGAATAGAATATAAAATTATATCACTAGACGAAGCAATTAAAATCATTGTTTGTACAGGATTCAATTATTTAAATATGAACATATTCAATTCAAATGATTACCTATTAGGCCAAGACGCAAACTCACTACAAATCCTGCTGAGGAGTTAGTACAGTTGAAATGCAGTTTCTCAATTTCCATTAAGTTACCAATAAAATGATTGCAAGTGCGCTAAAGAGTTCTCCATATTTTTCAATGCTTAAGGAGCTCACAAATATCACAAATCTCTTCAAAGTATTATATAGTGCGAAATGCTAATTTTATTTGTCAAGAGGAAATTGTCTTTTATATATTTTCTTCTAATTAAACAGAAATTATTCAGTTTACGCGACCATCAGGTCAGTTTTATACTTTACTTTACGAGTCCAATTAAAAATCATGGGTCCGGAGAATGGAAGGAATAGTACAGCAATAAAGATTAACGATAAGTGTTATCTTGATGCAGGACGCCTTTAGTTAATTTGATACCATCATTCACACCGTTAAGAGGACCCAAAAGTTTAAATTGGAAAAATTATTTGTCGATTTATAGTGAAATCACACAGCCGTCGTCAAACATTAACTTGCGTCAGAGCACATATGTTGATCAACATGTGATACAATGGTATTCTTACCAGAGCGAAGGTTAAACCGGTGGTAGATAATATTTGGAAAGTTTCGCCTTAATTGAAGAAGTCAGTATTTGATGTCTCAGTAAATCAACGAAAATGAATGAGGAACATGTGTAAAGTTTTTTTGGGGTATCGCACGTTTGTTCGAGAATTCTTTCACTGTAGAATTTAGCCTCATATATGAAAATGTTCATTTACTTCATGAAGAGTGTCTCCATGATTTCCTTCGTGAGGTTCAATGCTATATGATTGTCTTATTTTTTGATGAATTACACTATAGACGGATATAACATTCATAATTCTCGAGTATATTTCAAATATTATTTTGGTGGCTATGGAATGAGAAATTACGTCATAAAATAACTATCGTGGATCGAATACTGACGAATTATAAATTTCTATAATTGAAAAACTGAATACATATTGAGATTATCATCAATTGAAAATTGCTTCAACAAAATAGTCAAACCTTCACAAGAATATTGATCTATTCCAGTGGGCAAAAATTAACGATTATTCCATATGATAATTCTTTAAAAACATCGTAAACACGTATATCACAAACAGCGGGGGGAGATCTGTACCTCTGTAATAATATGGTATTTTCCTTGACAAAAACTGTGAACTAAACTTGAATTACTGAAGTGATGACACTTGTATAGCCTGGCAAAAACTAATCCGAAACTGCCTTAGGAATTCACAGCTTTTGTGCTCGATGACCCTGAATTCCTGAATTTGACCCTGGAATAAAATTTTCACTCTAATTCAATTTCAACTGTTTGTAAGACTGCACCAGAGCTCATGAAAACTAGCAGGCGTTTATGAGCTAGAAAAACGAAACTATAATTGCGTTTTTCCAAGTGATAACGTCGACTTCAATGGGAATAATCTCTCGGAAACTTGTCTCCAAAGATTTTAAAGTGATTTCAATTATCGATCAATTTGGCATTCATGAACGACGCTTCTTTGGACAATTGATTCAGGAATATTTTTCAAATACATTTGGCAAATGATTTTTCCTTTGTGTGGAAATGAATTGTACCAGAATTTTTTCCTGGAATCTCTCTCTTATTTGACATTTATTCTGACCAGAGTTAATTTCTTCCCCTTGTGCATTTTTCCCGAGGAATCAATTTGAATAGTTTATGAATTGTGGAATATCGCTGTGAAAACGATGACTGGATGTAATATCGTACTTTCTTTTAGTTTTTATAGAGTGTCACACATTTAAAAATTTCTTAATTGTTAATTGTTTGCCATTTTCTAACCACTGTAATTTTTGGGTTTGAAATGAATAAACAAATTAGTGATTTTCCCTAAATGACTTTGCACTTTTGATAGAATCTGAATGAGTTATAGATATATTGTATTATTTAAAAATTAGAAAGCATCTAGTTGAACGCTCTGCTCGCTGATATAATTCTGCAAACTTTTGGTTCAAGGCCTCTTAATAACTGATGATCCACGACAATATCAACACATGAGTTTTTAACACAGACATCCAGGATTTCATCTCGCTGGCTTTGTGAGTGTAGAAATGTCATGTATTTGTGTTATATTTTGCCCCATTGTAGTGAATCTTTAAAAAGCAGTTTGACTTCAATCTAGTGGTAAAATTCACGTAAGTAATTATTTCTGAAAATTATTATTGTATTCACGCTCTCAACAAATTATGACATGATTGAACTTAACACTTACTGACCAAGAGGCCAGCCATCATTTCATGGCCTAATCATTTCTACCCTACACCCAGAAAGTGGCAGCCTACAAGCATGTCACTTAATCATATTCAATCAATCTATCCATCCTCATTGTAGCCCACGAATAAGCGAGCAAATCAGTGGCACAGCAGCCCAAGGAGTGCGCGGCAGCAGAAGTGCCTTAATTCAATCAGCGTCTGAGTGTAGCGAAAGCCCCAGACGATTGTCCCTCGGTGCAGCCAAGGGAGAGCCACAAGATGGATTATGCATGCAGGAGCTGCGTAGGCAACCTTCTTATTTGAATGGCATCTCGTTACCACCGAGGCTTCGTTCCGCTCCCAGCCGAGCATTGAGAGCAGCTCATCGATTTGTGTATGTGTTTACCAAGGCCTTGTCCCTGATGAAATGCACTATTCAATTTCAGGCCCGACTTATTTACTCGCCCACACTTGCAATATTTAAATGTGTATTTTCAAGCAGCGAAGAAAGATCTCTGATTTCTTCATGAATTTGAGACGGTGAATAAGAACAGAAAAGTATTTCATATTGAGTTTGTAAGCGAAAAAAACTTACAAAATAACTTATTAGATGTTATCTACTCTCTCTGTAGAATATTATGCTTATTTGGCTTATTGTTTATAAGCCAAACAGTTAAGTTGAGTTTAACTCAAGAAGTCAGGTTATAACTGTAATTCTGACGATATATTTCATTAGTAGAGTTAATTATAATTAGAGCTTACACATTTATCGGTGGAAACTTGGACCTTATATCGAAAAAGGATTAATTTTTCCCAAGTTATTCACTGCCACTATACGAATGTTCTCCATGCACTAACACATGCAGTACAATCAGAAGTGATATATTTACTCGTCTTAAAGCGATTTCATTTTGTTCCGCTTAAGGTCTACCGGTGAGTGAATTCTTTATTCTACACAGTTCATAAGTTATATAATATTCGTCTGAATAGAAGCTGGACTAGTCTTGCAAGCCTGGGCTTGCCACAAAATTTTTCAGGCTAACCAACATATTTTGCGCCGTCCGCGTCTCTGAGTTAATCAAGCAGGTATTAGGGAATAATGAGAAGTCATAGCAAATCTACCTGATTTGTAGTCAGGTCACCAAAAGCTAATGTCATAAACAAAAGTTTAGCCTAGTCTTATTTAAAATTTATTTACACTTTTTTAAATCAAACATTTTATGGCATAAATAAATTCCAGAGAAATAATTAAATTCAAGTGCTGCATCTGGATTTCAGACTCCTACGACGTATTTTCAATTGCACTGAGTTGAAACATTCAATGCAAGATTTACATACTGAATGCAAATAGTACCTAAGTCTAAACATTGGCTGTTTTCTCCTTAGCTTATTATTATCGAGAACTTGATGTAACAACTTATCTCATCCCATTTACACGCAACGACGTGACACCGAAGAATAACAACATCTGGGAGCGGGAGATGAGAACTTGCATAGCGTAGCTTCTCATGCAGCTAGGCTTTTAGACGCGTAATTTAGCGACTCCGTTTGAGGTGCGACAGCGAGAAACTCTCCCAATAATGCGAACATTGCCGCCGTAAAAGCTCTTCAGAAGCCGTTGTTCCCGCATGCTTCTTTATGACGGGTGCGAGGCGACCACCTGTTCCAATGTACAGCCAAGAGATGCTCTCTCCATCTTGAGCGACATTCTAAACAGCTCAGAAACTCAATGCAGATACATTTTCGGAAACTATGGAAGATGAGCAGGCATATATCGTATAAAAAATTGTATGAAGGTATAAAAAATTATGATATAAAAAAGATAATTAAAAAGTTATCTCAGCATTATGAACCGTAATGTTCATAGGACGGGGAATAAGAATAGAAAAGTATTTCTTTTTCTTATTGATTTTTTAAACGAAGAAAACTTACAAAAGAACTTATTAGATGTTATTTCCGTTCTCCGTAGAATATTATAAATTTTTTGTTTATGTTATGCAATGCTTCTAATCAATTAATCAGAAATAAGAGAGTTTTATATTTGCATTTGGCAATCTATTATCTGCCCCGAATAGAGACAGTCAAATGTTTTTCTTAATTTTACAAAATTATATGGTATCTTCTAAAAAATTTTAGTTGGCAGGGCAAAGGCAAGCTGTTGTCAGGAATTGTCTTAACTTTTAAAAGGGGTAATCATTTACTTGCATTCATACTGCTCTAGCTATTTTTTGAATAACATAAATTAATTTAAAGCAAACATAAATGTATGACAGATGTATATAAATGTATGACATAGATAAAGCATACCTACTATTAATGCGACAAATGCTTAACACAAATCCTTGACACAAGAGATGGAAAACTACAAAACTGTGGAATTCACCACTTGGTGTCCAACTAAAAATAAATTTGAATATTACTTACTTCAACTCAATTTAGCAGTATACAGTCGTGTTGATTTTTGCACAATTGGTACCTAAATATGTTAAAAGTTATTTTGATCATTCGAGCTAAGGCATTTAATTTATCAATAAATAATTCAATTTTCAAGATTATTTGTTGATTTGAGAATATTCATACCGCACTTAGCGCGATGTAAATTATGTGTGATGCGCAGTGAGAATGCTCTTTCAAGTACCCATTAATTATTGTTTATCTCATCACAAAAGTTAATTATTACACTCGGCAAAGTAATGACGTTCTAATGCACAATAAATCAAATGTTATGTCAACGCAATATAATATATATTAAACAGTTTGAGTCAACTTTTTCTGCAAGAAAAATTCTCGAAGCCTGGTATTCATCAGCACAAACAGCAAAATATTTCGCTTGAAAAGTTCATTAGTCGTTAAAGTAGGCATCTAAGTTGGCATCGAAATTTATAGCAGCGGAAAGTTGATCTTGATGCAGCTATTTTAAAACTTACGGAAACCAGAGCCAAACGCGTTTTTTTGCCAATAGATAAAATCGAGAAAATATGCATTTTTTACTGATATGGTTAAATTTTGATGCTCTCGATGGCGTCGATGATTTGAATCTGGATTTAATTTTGATTATTCCCAACATTTAAACTGTTCGTAATGCAATAATATAACAACACTTAGAAGTGTCATTTTTAGCGCATTTTCTCTTTATAGAAAAAATGCAATATTGTGCTCGCCATGTCCGTCTGTCTGTCCGTCCGTCCGTCTGTCCGTCCATCCGCCCGTGACTTCACGTTTTCGTCGACGAAACGAAAGTTTTAGCTTAGTTTTTAGTTTAGTTTTTAGTTTAGTTTTTAGTTTATTTTTCAGTTTTTAGTTTAGTTTTTAGCGCATTTCCTCATTTATGGAAGAAATGCACTACTGTGCTCGCCATGTCCGTCTGTCTGTCTAAGTTGGCATCGAAATTTATAGCAGCGGAAAGTTGTTCTTGATGCAGGTATTTTAAAACATAATGAAACCAGAGCCAAACGTAATTTTTTTTTGCCAATAGACAAAATCGAGAAAACATGAATTTTTTTATTGAAATGGTTAAATTTTGATACGATGGCGTCGATGATTTGAATCTCGATTTAATTTTGATTATTCCCAACATTTAAACTGTTCATAGTGCAATCATTTAACAACACTTAAAAGTTCCAGTTTTTTTAATTTACTATCTTTAGGCATGCTGGTACACGCTAAGCTCCAACGCTCATATTTTAGTTACGCGGCATGTCCAAATAGGCGAGAAAAATACTTGAAATGAGTTTGGTATCAAATCCCTAATTTATTTTCCGTCATATGTTGGAACAATAATGGAGATATTTCTGTCCCGTGCTCTTGCTAAACGATAGGTATAAATATTGAACTGGCATTATTCTTCTCTCAAAGCTTTCCATTTCTAAAAATCGGACAATTTATCGGCAGGGAAACGATAGCCGAGAAGCCATTTCGAGCCAACATCACTCACGAGTGTCGAAAACATTGAAGTGAAAGTGTTGTGAATTTTTACTTCAGTTCACAGAAGCAATTAATTCAGCACAGATATTTTTGGGCCACAAGGCCACTATTTTAGCTATATATTGGCAGGTTAATTAATTGAATTTAAAGGAAGCCTTAAATCATATACTCGGTAAAAATAATTGAAAACAAACAAATAAATTTGCAAAAAGTGAGTGCTAGTGCACAGCCGACATATATGTCAATTATTTACAGACTTGAATTTGAGACATTACGGTTGTGTGACAGACTTAGTCCTGAGTAATTCTTCCTTTAATATTTTCCAAAAAACTTCACGACTATAAAACCCTCTCAAGACACCAGCCAACGAATCGCTTAACAAACACTAATGGATGATACACATCCCTAGAGGCCATGGAAAGCCAGGAACATTTATATTTATGAATAATTCAGATGAACTGGCGCCTTCCACCTTTCGGAAATCGTTTGATGCGATACCCCCAAGCACACAAACTTTCGTCGGTTCGAATATCTCAGGATCAAAATTAAAATCCCAACCGTCTAACGACGCCTGAAAATATCCAGTGAACAACAGGCTAAGCTAATTTTGCGCTTGCATTGAACACTTTTGTTACCATCGCGTACTTTACAGTGCGATGAATCTCACCTCGAACAAGCGATGCTAATTAATTACTTGTCAATGTCGAGACTAATTGAGAAAATTGTTCATTTAATTTTAAATATTGCTTCCAAGTAAGGTAAGACATCGAGTTAATGGAGATTTTCATAAGCTAGCATTTGTTTTTTGTTTCAAATCCTAATCGTCAGCAAGCAGTTTTATGTGCTGCTTTATATTGTTTACTAATTTTTAATGTAAATTTTTATTGTATAATATAGTTACAATAATATCATAGTTAAGAGTGACATCGAAGGAAATATTCTTCTCTCGTTTTGTTTGTGCTAAATTATTCAACAAAACTAATGCTAAAGAATAATGGATCTCTGACGAGATTATCAACTAATTTGAAGATTTACAACCATCCATGCAGTTCCTGACCTGGTTGTTGTGGTACCAAGTGATGGCCTCAGGGGGGAAGGGTGCGTGGTGCACAATGCACGTCAGGTTGATCATGCTCGCCCTGTTGACGTACACGTCAGGACCTCCCAGCACCTCCACTGTGGGCTCTGGTGGGTCAATGACACACATTCAGTGAAAAATTACGATCAATATTACAATATTATCTAGGTATTTATACAGGGTAATGAAAGTCCCATGGCAGTGGTTCCCAACCATTCATGTGATCGGGGGCCCAGTGCAAACACAGCGTACATTAGTTGCCACCGTGTAACTTCATGAATTCGTAGGATGTGTAGTTTCAGTTACATTTAATCTTTTACAATACATTAACAAATATTCTATCAAGTTACGGTATTATTTCAATTTTTAAAGATACGCTTCAAGGGCCATGGTGCGAGGAGAGCAGAAAAATAATGGAGTCGTTGCGAGATTATTTTATTTTAAGCAGTAAACAATTCCATTCTGTGATGAGCAATAAATCGAGGGGACACGAGGGGACAATAATATGATGAAATGAGAATTTACGACTTGAAAAATACACTCAAAATACCTACATTTGCGTTTTTAATCTGAACGATCAATGTCTGCGTGGGGTGGAAGATGAAAGCAGCTTAACTTACCACAAACGAAGTGGAAAAGAACGGTGAAAGTTCAAATGAGCTTGCAAAGCTACTAAAGACTTTTATTGCAGCCACAACATTAGCCGGATGGCGAAGGTTCTAATGACAATGAACTCACAACATGGAGATGAATGGTAAAGGCTGGAAAAACTATCAGCTCAATCACTACATAGAAGTTTACGGTGAAGGTTCTAATGGGCTTATGAAGGTTCTAAATACCCTCACCTCACCCGCAACATGGAGCTGCACGGTGAAGGTTCTAATTGGCTTATGAAGGTTCTAAATACCATCACCTCACCCACAACATGGAGCTATACGGTGAAGGTTCTTATGGGTTTATGAAGGTTCTAAATTCCATTACCTCACCCTCAACATGGAGCAGTACGGTGAAGGTTCTTATAGGCTTATGAAAGTTATAAAAACCATCAACCCACCTGGAACATGAAACTGCACGGCGAAGGTTCTAATGGGCATATGAAGGTTCTAAATACCATCACCTCACCCACAACATGGAGTTGCACGGTGAAGGTTCTAATGGGCTTATGAAGGTTCTAAAGACCATCAACTCACCCACAACATGGAGCTGCACGGTAAAGGTTCTAATGGGCTTGGTAGTTATCTGGCAGTCATAGCTGCCCTGGTCGCGCAGTTGTACAGATCGTATTCTGAGCGTCCACTCGGAGCTGCCCTCTGTGTGCAGTGCCTCGAACCGCAGGTCCGACGTGTAGGTGTAGCGGCCCACCGTCAGGATTCTTAGGTCTCTGCCCCTAATCCATGACACCTGATGACGCCGGAACGTAAGGGTTATCGTTAAATATCAGAATCACAGCACATCATCATATATATCATTTGTTATCTCACATCTCTCACACTAATCTTTAACTACATGTTGATCTCTGAATTTTTGCGCATTACTTTTGCATCGCTTTTGGTCTATGGGCACCAAGTTTATCCTTTAACCTATGTCTCGTCGACACTGACCGGAGTTTTCACTGTTCATCCTCTAAGGCAGAACTTTTCATCGAATCTGCAAACTGCAACATCAGCATAAAATTTTTAGAGCTTCACAAAAGCTTTAAGCTATTGCCTCCACACAATTTTGTGTCTAAAGTTACACGAGAAGTTTGGATGAACCTGTAAAATTTATTGAAAGCATTTATTTTATGACCGAAAAATTTTTCGCCGGGAAATTCTATCAGGTAAATTTGGTTTTTAGGTTGACGTTTTTATAATAAAACGAACGAAAGGAATCTCTAAATGGGTGATTGATTTTTTTTATCAACGGACTTTCCGTACGTCCTGAAAGTGAACTCATCAATGTAGGAATACTTGCAACCTTGTACTCTTAAAAATGTGTTATTGTAATCCGTAACCTTATACATCAAGCTAACTGTTTTATATACTGGGTGTTTTTTTTCAAATTTCAGCTCAAAATGCACTTTATGCATTGAATTGCAGATATTTTAACAAGCTACAACAGTCGAATTGCATGGTAGTCGCCTACTTCTTACATTCATTGTTGATCCTTTGGCGAAGACTACAACCATCTATTTCTCTCTGTACCTTTGGTTAAAATCTATAGCATGTATTTAACCCACAAAAGAAGTTTATAACTTATTTTCAGCTGTTTCAAAATATATTCTACAGTGGGGGGAAATAAATATTCGTACACTTGAAAAATCGTATTTTAATGTATGTAATTTATACGCGTGCGATTAACGACCAGAGAATTCGTTGATTTAAATTATCAAAGAGTCTGACAATTCTTCAGATGACATTGGTAGATCGAAAGGCATATATCGGGAAGTAGTTTTAGTTTATTAACGACGTTTCGAATGTAACGAAGATTCATTTTCAAGTTACAAAGAGCATTAAATATTGACATGAAGTTAACATGTTGCATTAATTTTTGTTGCATTGAGATTTAATTTCTATTGATGCTATTTTTGAATACAATGCGCCTCTATACATAGTATAAATACTTCTCCTGTTCAGTTTGTGTACTTACATACATTAAAATACGATTTTTCAAGTGTACGAATATTTATTTCCCCCCACTGTATGTGGTCAGCATGAGAGAAAAGACGAAACACCAAATGTCTGAAAATTCTGTATAAAAGCTTCTGAACTTTTACTCGCAATTTCATACCCGGATACGTTCTAACAAGTCTGGCACCGAAAGTAAAAAATATAAACATTCACAACTGAAGCTAGCGAGTTAGTTTGTTCCCACCACAATGGAGCGTAAAAACTTTGTAGCCAACACTGGCTCTAAACGTTCTTTGAAATGAACCATTTTCGATAAATTTACACCACATTTTTAGCGAAACATTTTCATTTCCATGAATGTGTCATAATATTCTAATAACTTTATTTACATACATTAAAAACTTTTACTGAGGTTTTCATGAAAGTATGAAAGGCTCCTTCGTTTCATTAAAGCTTTGGAATAAGTCCCATGAGCAGGTCTATATAACAAAAGAATAAATTTATCCTGGCAGCCGAGGAATAGAGTGAGTGTCAGTTGTTTCTTCTAAGCAATATCCCGGCAGCAGGGAAGCCATTCTCCAGCCGGCAACAAAAAAGATGTTCTGTAAACCTGAAGCTTGGCGGGTCGTTTTTCGGGCGCATCCCGACAGGCTGCAGCGATCTATCATACGAAGCTCTAAAAATCTACTGGGCTTGACTAGCAGCCGTGAAATTTCTTCCTGATGGGGCTTTCATCGTAGCTTTGATATTAAATCAAGACTCACATTAAAGTGATTGGGCCCTTGACATTTTTTATGATAAATATTCAATTCATTCAAAAATCTGAATAATACATGCATAAAATTACTGACTTAAGTAATGAATCAAGTCGAGGCTGCAAGCGTTAAGCAAATTGAAAAATCATAAAACTCCAGAATTTGAAACTTTATTAAACTCGCGCTTCAAAGTCGGGTACTCAGTTGATTTACCACTTAAAGCCACTAAAGTAGCTGTGCAGTTCAACTTCTATGAGTATCATTAGAAAAAACCCTGGAATAAAATTCACCGGGCGTTGTTTGTAACTTTAAAAACTCACCGACTTGTCACTCTTGGCAGCGTGCACTATGCATGTGAGCACGGCTGTCTTGCCGAGGTAGGCCGTGTGGGTTGGTTGCATGCTCGAGTCGAAGTAACTTTCTTCTTCCATTGGTTCCAGACTTTCGGCTGTCTCGGGTATGATAACGCCATCTGTGACGGCTGCCACCTGCTCCAGCTGTTCCGTCGTGACAGGTGGCGGAGGTGCCGTGCCATGTGTCAAGTTCAGAGGGCCAACTGGATCTCCTTCTTCCAGCAACATCTCTGGAACTGTCCAAGAGGAAGACACGCGCACCGACACCACCGCCAGCGTCGACATCACTGTTAGGGGTGGAAAAAACTATCGGATGGAATATTCAAGACTTGAATTATTCAATTATATGTTGAATTTCCCCCCCCCCCTTAATAATTATTATTTTTAGAAAACATAGGTATGGTAAAATTAAGGATATTTTAAATAAGGCCATATGTTCGATTTTCAAATTTATTTATGGCTTCATCGGTGAAAGTTTCATCCAATGAAACACTATTTATATCACCAGGATTCATACAAGTAAAGGAACTGACTTCCATGTATCTGAGGGTATCATATTGAGAAGTAAGGCTGAATATAAATTGTTTGTTTATATTTTCACTCTGATTACCCATTCAACTCTGATTCAAATTTTCGTCACTCACACTAATTATCGCCAATGGGAAATAATATAATTGATTCGGCATCTGACTTATAAATTCCATCAAATGAAAACGACTTCAGAAACGATTTCTGTTGGTTAGGATTCAACAGGAAATTCCTGTGACTATAAAACTTAACTAATTAACACAATTTTTGCTCTAATAATTTTCATTTTGCAACCAAAAACTCGCCAAGAAAACTCGTTAGGTAAAAAATTTTTTTATATCGAAAAAGCGGAAATCGGTGGCAAGACTGGCTTTCGGCCCATCCAATGGAGTCCGGAGTTTCCAAGGTGAAGCACTCTCAGGCTCCGGTGTTTTTTCGGTTACTCTAATCCAATCATTCTAAAGGCTGTGGGGAGAAATTCCTGTGAAAAACATGTTCTAAGAAATGCATGTCATGATACATGTTGGCTTCAATTGAGTTCTAATCTTCCTTAAGTTTACTGAAGTTGGCGTTGAAGGCAAAAGAGAGGCAGAGAAAAATTTTCTTGAAAGCATTACATTTTCTTAGCTCTTAAATTCTTGGTTAGTATGCGATTTTTTTGTTGATTTAACCCATAGAAGGTGGTAATCAAAAGTGCCCGAAGTTATAAATGCAGGATAGAGTAGGATTACATTCTGGCTGTTTCTATATAAAACTTTATATATTATACAAGTTTATATATTCTACAATCCAATTCTTGAGGATTGTGGCTCTGGAATCGCAATTAATCTTAGTTCTCCGATCGATTGCATAGCTGTGGATCAAGAGATTGAAATTTTCTATTCAAAGCCGGTTTCAAAGTTCAATCGACAGGTGCATCAGAAATCGACGTTCCATCATCACATCAATCTGCACAATGTGGACCGCATCATAAATCCTTCTACCTTGTGTCAGTCACAATCGTTTGTTTCCACCGCAGCTACCGACCATGCAATGCCTCTGCGGTCCATTCTTCAATGGCTAACTGCAAAGTAACTCTGCATTGTATAAGCGAATTTTGTAGAATCTAACGATGAATAGTATTTATAACAGTACATAACAGTGTAAAAATTAGAGCGTACATATTTCTGTCGATCGGTTCCAACAACAATTAATCAAAGAACTCCTGAAGCAACTGTGATAAAATTTATTACATTTGATAAAAAAGCCAAGGTGTGTGCAGTGTAGAGCCTCATTGCCAATACATTGCTTACAAGCGAAATAGTCGATATACCAATTTATTCGATTTCAAGCGAGAAAAGTCTGATTTTGTTCATCTCAAAATTAGTCGTAAATGAGATCGAAAGAGGATCTTGTACGACAACTGCCGATGGGCTAAAATTTTATTATGCTGGTGCGGCTCAGTTCATTTATCAAGTTCCGATTGGATCATTAGTTGTTACTTCTATTAACACTGAATTGAGTAAGTTATTAGTTGTAGATATTCTCGTAAACAAAACTTGATAAGCATATCCGAGATAGTACAATTTTGTACTATTCTGGTAGAAAGAATTTTTATACTAAGGCCACAAATTATTTCTAAAGAAAGCCATATTTTTGATCGGATCTTGAATTCTTGTTGACCTGATCCACTGCAGCTAATCAACGTTGAAGTGAGATTCGTTCCGTTGAATCAATAACATAATAAGGGAAATCTTTCAAGGGGTCTGTCAGAAAAGTGTCACAGTCTAATGTAAATCAACTATGTATTGAATGTCTGCTGCACTTTACTTGGAACGATTAATTGTTAGCTAAACGGAGAATATTATTACATGGATCCGTTCTGTTCATTTCATAAGTTCCTCTAGTTCAGCAGTAAGCCAGCCACTGGTGGTTACAGGCCCGTGCAGCACGTATATATAGTCTTCCAGAACAGCCAGCGGAAACAATCAGCTGGCGGTGCGTGGCCACGTCTGGCGATGGAAGCATGCAAATTTGCATGTAACGCAGCTTCCCGAAAGGCAGCCTCAAATCCCTTAATATTAGATTCTGGCAGGTGGATCCGATATGAATGGATTTTGTGATGGATTCAAATTCTGACGCTTTCATCCCTTCAAAATTGGAGTGGATTTCCTTCCAACAAAAGCTTTAAAATATCGATATAGCTAGTTTGATTGCGCAACTTTTGTTCACTCCTCTTAGGGTAGCCAAATTGTAAGCAGCAGAAGCTAGACTTAGTAAATAAGTCTTAAATAATGCATCGCCACATTATGAATAACATTATTGACCATTCACTTAACCTTTTTTTAGCGAAGCCGGCGGTCGTGATTGAATTGATTTAAAGCAAATGTTTACTTATATCCATGAAATGTTCGAGTTTCAGGTTAGTAATATCAGCCTCCTAAATCAAGCAATACGGTAACAATGTGTTATTTTGAAGGCATAACGGAAGCTCTCGATGACCTCGTGGCCATGATGCAGACGTTCAGTCTGACGTTCATCAATACCTTGCTGACGGCCAATCTCATTACAAGACGAGTCATAGCCTCGAGATCGGAATATGAAAGGGAGAGTGAAGCTCAATGAGATGCTCTGGCGCTACATACGGCCAGACTGACCGGGCAACTGTTGGTGATGAGGTTCTCCACTGCATTGAGCTTATCGAGTTCACTTACGAAGTGGCATCGTTCATCGTGTACGAAGTAAGAAGGATGACCAATGTTCATTCCCCATTGATATTGTGATTAATCTGGTCTGGCCAATTAATCGGTCTGACCGTTTAATCGCTTTTCAGAGAGGCAATAAACAGCTCCTAAAGTTCAACGCCGGTAATTTAATATATTAAAGTAGCAATATTTACTCTTTAAGGAACAACATTTTCATCATAATAATTTGATGAAATTCATTAATGATTGTACTAAATATTTTTCAGCATACATTTTATTCAGTTGAACGCCATTAAAGAGTTCCGCTATAAACCAAAAACAATTGAATTCGTAACATAATTATCAAGGTTTCTGTATTTAATTCTTTTCGGCTGGACGTTTTCATTTGAGAACTGCGGAGCTGCGCAGCTACATCATTTTGTCAAATTCTCTTTACATTTACTGTGTAAATCACGAACGAAAAGCGAAAAGAAGCTGAAGTGACACCATTGTTCAAAAGAGATGACATGAGTTAGTCTGGTAACCACCGACCTGTCAGTCTGACAAGCGTTTGTAAGGTAATGCAATCTGTTGTGAGGGATAGGATTATCGATTACTTGACGGTTAACCCTCTCCTATCAGACTAGACTGTCAACATGGCTTATTGCCGGTAGATCCTGCACGACTAACCTGTTGTATACGTTGAACGATTGGAACCGTCTGCTGGACGACAAGGAGCCAGTTAATGCAGTGTGCCTCGATTTTGCCAAAGCATTTGACAGCTCGCTATAAACCAAAAAACAATATTGAATTCGTAACAAAATAATCAAGGTTTCTGTATTTAATTCTTTTCGGCTGGACGTTTTCATTTGAGAACTGTGGAGCTGCGCAGCTACATCATTTTGTCAAATTCTCTTTACATTTACTGTGTAAATCACGAACGAAAAGCGAAAAGAAGCTGAAGTGACACCATATTGTTCAAAAGAGATGACATGAGTTAGTCTGGTAACCACCGCCCTGTCAGTCTGACAAGCGTTTGTAAGGTAATGGAATCTGTTGTGAGGGATAGGATTATCGATTACTTGACGGTTAACCCTCTCCTATCAGACTAGACTGTCAACATGGCTTAAATTGCCGGTAGATCCTGCACCACTAACCTGTTGTATACGTTGAACGATTGGAACCGTCTGCTGGACGACAAGGAGCCAGTTAATGCAGTGTACCTCGATTTTGCCGAAGCATTTGACAGCGTTCGCATGAGCGGCTGTTGCGTAGAGTGAAGTTATGGGAATAGAGGGAAATGTTCTCCAATGGATCAGAGATTTTCTAGTAGGTAGACGACAACGTGTCAGTTTTAACGGGACCGTGTCAGACTGGGCATCAGTGCCCAGTGGCGTGCCACAAGGAAGCGTTCTTGGGCCAGTTTTGTTCCTTGCTTTTATAAACGATGAGCCAGAAGTAGTGTCAAACTTGTGCTCCATGTATGCCGATGACACAAAAATTTATAATTCAGTTAAGGATGCGTCAAATAAAGTGCAATTACAAGATGATATTGATAGTTGAGTAAACTGGACTGATACGTGGCAGGTGTGTTTTAATGCTGACAAGTGAAGCAGTGAATGCAGTGAATATTTCGAACTGTATTAAAGGACATGAATGTGGCTGAGTCATGGTCATTTCTCAAGGACACGGTTATGTCTGCAGTTGATGCGTGTGTACCTAAAATTAAGCTTGGTGGAGTCAAAAAACTCAGTGGATGAATAGTACAGTTCTAGCTAAGCTGAAAACAAAGAAGGAAGCATACCAGCATTATTTATAGACTCGTAGAGATGCTGACTATAACCTATACGCAAGAGCTCAAAATCAAGCTAAAGAACGTTGTCGCACTGTAGTACCTTTGAAAAAAAAAAATATTGCTAAAGATGCAAAAAAGAACGCGAAAGCCTTTTTTTGTACGCTAGCTCGAAGTGCAAGATAAAGGACGGTATTTCTGATTTGAAAGTAGATCAACGAAAGATATCCTCTGATGAGGGCAAGGCTAACGTTCATAATCAGATTTTCAGTAGCGTATTCACTGAAGAGGACTTGAAC